AAGTAGATATCTTAGGGTTCACATTGAGAATAGTTGAGTTTGTTTCCCACGAACTCCAACCTAGGTCCGAAAGATTATAAGGTTGAAGGGCTTTGACCATGTTGGTATCTAGGGCCTTCAGACTCACTGGCTTGGCATGGAAATATCTCAGCCATAACATTAACATGTTTGTGTTTTGAGTGACCGATAGGGGGAACAAAGTGTAGAAGCACTCACCGCCTTTCTATTGTTCTTCTTTAAAAACAACTCGAAATTTCTCAACTTGTTCTTTAACCCCCTCACCTGGAATCCAAACGGGAGCTTTTGTAGGTTCTTTCCCAATTTTAATTTTTCCTTTGACTTCTACTTCTTTGGAGCCATTGCTGATTCTATGAAAAAAGGTTGGAGACGATGCGCAGAGTTGGGATCTCCTCCTCCTGAAACGTTAATTCATCTTATCCAAGTTCAGGGAAATACTATTGCAGCCATATTTGGATCATCCAAAGGGACCACAGACATTTAGGTCCATTAATTTTGTGGAGATCTGATGGATGCAATGTTAAATTGAGGCTAGAATGAACAGATTTGTGGCTACATTATCTTCATTGTGTAAGGCTTCTGTCATATGCATATACTTGCTCGTTACAAATCCTTCAGGGCAAGGGAAGATGAACTTGTTTAGCCAAAATAGTAAGAACATCACATGTTCCTGCTCCTTATCTAGCATATTCTGATAAGACTTCATAAACACAAAATATTTCATATTCCTTATTATTTCTGTTTTGGTAGCCTGAATCAGGGTCTTCACTTTTCGCCCCATTCTCTCATAATCCCCGAGAACGTCTATGTTTACTCCATGGGGATGAAACCCAAATAGGGATGCATATCCAAAATTGTGGTGTCATGGGCCCTAACCCAAAAACAAAGGTATTGGAAGTATTCCAATAGTAGATGGCGGCACTTAGGAGAGGCACATTCAGTTTTATACTCTCCTTTGAAAGCATAATGGCATCATAGATACCATTGCTTCTCCGCACAACCTCATACCTAGGGTGTAAATATTCAAATCAGGGGATGGGAGTTCCAAAAGCAGATACCTTAGGGTACGGGCTGAGAATAGTGGAATTTGTTTCCCACGAACTCCAATCTAGGTTTGAAAGGCTATAAGGATAAGGGGCTCTGATCATGCTGGTATTTAGGGCCTTCAACTAGCTGGCTTGGCGTGGAAATATCTCGAGCCTAACATTAGTGTGTTTGTGTTCTAAGTGACCGATAGGGGGAACAGAGTGTAGAAGCGCTCACTGCCTTTCTATTGTTCTTCTTGAAGAACAGCTCGAAATTTCTCAACTTGTTCTTTAACCCCCTCACCTGAAATCCAAACGGGAGCATTTGCAGCTATCTTGGCCAATTTTGATTTTGCCTATGACTTCGACTTCTTTGGAGCTATTGCTGATTCTATGGAAAGGGGCAGGAGACGATGCACAGAGATGGGATCTCTGGTATAACCATTATTTCGTATATTTGCATTATCTTTCTCTTAGATTCTTGCTGTGTTCTTGAGTGAGTTTAGTCCCTTTTTACTTAGTTTTTTTTATTTTACTAGGTTTGAAAAGTAAAGATGGAAAAGCAAGCAAAAAGAGCAATTTTGGGATTGAAATATAATGTGAAATCCTAGAAGAGCAGAATGTGCTGTGCAGAACAGTCAACTTGACAGAGTATAGTGTACTTCCTCAGAGCGAACCAGATGTTGAGCCTTATATCTTTGGAAAGATACGGATGTTAGCTTTCTGTAGAATTTTACGGTTCGTGATTCGGACGTGTGTGGAGAGAGTTGTGGCCATTTTAGTACAGACAGTTCGGGCAGAATGTATTCTGCGGGTTTTGCAAAATAATCCTTTTAAAGTTCAATCCGTTGAGTCCAATTTATGTCAATTGCATTTGGGAAGTGTCTACAAGGATGCAAGGTTATTTTCTAAGGTTTGATCCTATATTTAGTAGGATTTTGGATGCCAACTCATCAAAGACAATTGAAGCCAAACTAGGAAAGCATAGTTACCAAATCAAAAGAGGATATGTTCCTTATTTAAAGAAGACTAGAAATTAGGGCTCGGAATGCTGGAATTTGAAGAAGAGTCAAAGAGCCTCTACCATCGTCAAGTTCTCGAGCATCGTGACAATCCATAAGTTTTATTTTATGTTTTCTAGTTTTTCAAATATATTTTCTTTGAACATGAGTTACTAAATTATTCTCTAGGGCGAGGATGACGCCCGAGCATAGATAGTTATGATTTCTAATGTTATTTAATGGATTCTAAGTTTCTTTTATATGAATGTTTAATCATTATTTTAATTGTTGCTAAAATAAATTTAAATTTTTTTAAAAACAAACCTCTCACAGAGAGGCTAGTAATAATTTAAGGTAAAAAGTAATATAATAAAAATTTAGGGGAACGCAGAGCCCAAACGTAAGTCCAAAATGGATAGCAGCGAAAATGACGACGACATCCCATCAATTGACAGCATCACTCCCCAGTCTAAAGTTGACACTCTTTACCAATCCCACACTGAAAAGTTTTCTTCTTCCTCCCTCCATAACCCTCTATTCGGCTCACGAGAATTTGTTTGAAATCAATAAAGGAAAATGCCTTTTTTCTTTTAAAACTTGCCGTATGTTTAGAGTATGTAACCATATAGTTAAATGAAGTTTAACTAGCATCCAAACGAGCATCTTCCAGTCCTCAAATCAAGTTTTTTCCTTCATGAAATATGTCCATCTGGATGTGTACAGTGTTGTATCCAAATTTGGCTGCATTTAGACAAATTTGCAGGTTTATGGGAATTAAATACTGAATCATGTTCGTGACAGCTGTTTGTGACGATCAATCATGTTGAGTCAAGCCCGATCAGATTTTCCATTGCTCAAATGGAACTAAGTTCTTCATGAATGTTGTTCCTGCTTATGTGGAGAACAACATATCCAAAATTCCCAGCAATTGGATTAATCTAGCATTCTCGAATTATTATGCATCCAAGCTTGTCCAAGGAAGAAATCTTAGCGGCTGCTAATCAAGTTTCACCTTCATCAATGGAAGGACTCCTGCAGAAGTGAGTTGATTCAAAGAAGAATAAAATATTGATGTGGTGAATGGAAATAATTTAATATTCTTTGTCCGTACGAGGATGCCATACTCATCCAATTGATTCCAAATGCGGATACGATCATTCGGACACTCCAAGGCCCTCATCGGACAGAATTATATTACTGTAGCTGACTGGTACTGAAAAGACTCTTGAACAGGCTCCTCTTTGGACATGAATCTGAGATGGCTACACTTATCCAAATGCTCCCAAATTCGGACACGATGTAGTAGAAATTTTGAGGAACAACGCTTATGAAGAAGTGAACTTCATTCGAGTAGTGGAAATGGCCCATCTGACAGAATTCTCTCTGACTGATAGTCATTGGACTACAATAGAGGTGTAGCCCACCCATACAATGAGGCTCACCTCTATTAGAGAGGTTTTATACAATATGATATATATATATATATGGTATGCCTAGCATTTTCCTTTGCATACTCAGTTCAGTTGGCATAGTTTTCATCCAATATTATACAAGAGGAGGAAACTATAAGAAAAATATTGAGGCTAATTTTTTGTTGGAGGATTAATGATATACCTCATCCAGCATTTCTTATACTCTTCTAGTTTTGATTTATCATTTTTTTATCTCGTGAATATATTATAAAATTAGATGGACTATCGCAATGAGGAGGGGGGGGATCAAGAACTAATCGGGGATGAGGCAAGTAGTATGATGTGAAATTTAAGTGTTATAATGTAGCATATATATATCAAGTATTATGGGCAGTTTTGGGAGATAGCCCTCTGACAAAAATGGGAACGGGGATTCCTAAAATATCTTACCAACGATGGGGGCGGGATCGGGGCGGGGACATAGATTGTATTGCCATACTAGACCCCAAACTAACCAGTTGCCGTCCCTTGGGAAAAAGAGTGAAAGCAAGGAGGGAGGTACTACCGTACTAGGAGCAAGCGTGAAAAGCCTAGGGTTATTTTTTTGGGGTAGTTTTTGTGAATTAATGATTTGGCTTGTGCCACATCATTTGGAATTTATAATATCTTAATTATGTATCATCAACCACCAGATTTCGACTTAAAAAGGAAAAGGATTCAACTTTATGTCACTATTTACCAAACAAATTAATGTGGGAGATTTGTTCAAAATGGAAAAGTCTTAAATTGGAATTTATGTAAGTATAATAATAAATGAAGCTATCACAATGTGTAATTAGTTGTACCTACTAGATAGGAACGCCCAGTAAATCCTCATGAGTCATGACAGAGAAAAGAAAAATAGAAAAACTTTTGAACTCTCCCTCCATCACTCTAGCCTCTATGTCTGTTGTACACACCACACCCATCCCCTTGGTGCCCCGACCCGGAATCCGAATACTCCCAAGCAACCCCTGCCTCGACCTCTATTTCCACCGTCCCATGGGATCAGGCATCACTCCAAGTTGGAATTCCATGAGACTCTGATGAAGCAGCGGCGGCCGCTGGCTTGGTCCTACAATCCCCTCACCACCCTCAAGCTCATTTGCAACTTCCTAGACGACGATGGTGAAAAAGGCGATAGCGAGGCCTTCTACTCCGCAGCGTTTTGGCTGCACCACAACCACCCCAAGACCCTTGCCTGCAACCTCCTGCCTATTGCAGGCGCCTGGGGCCATCTTATCCACGTTCTCGATACTCTGTCACGGGTTCTTCTACAAGGCAATGCCCAGCTGCAGGTTGATCAATACTCTATGACTTGGACCAGGAAGGACAAGAACCAATAATTTCAGTCCAAACAGTTCCAGATCCACTTAACACAAAATGAAAGGAGGAGGACAACTTGTCCTCTTCCTCCTCCTAGTCCTAGACAGACTCGCCAAATCAAGGTGGAAAAAGCTAAGGAGAAAGCGAGCGCCTTGTTGAAGAGAAGGAAGACGACTGCCATGGTCAATAAGGCTGCTGACAGGTACCACAGCGACCCGGATTATCGGTTCTTGCACGACCGGGTTTCTGATCTTATGGCAGAGTGCTTGAAGCATGATATCCAACAATTCAACCAGCATCAGCAGCAGCGTCGTGAGCATGGCCAAAAGAAAAAGAAGATGAAGAAGTTGGAGTTCAACATAACCGATGCGGCTGATTGCTTCCGATTCGTGCCGCCCCCTATGGACCAACTGCTGTATGAAACCGTTGCGAGGAATGTTTTCTCGCCAGGAGAATCCCAATCAGAATTTTCGAACCCAATGTCTCTGCAGCGGCTGCTGCGGAAAGAGATTTTGGTGCCCTTGAGACAAGCCTTGGCGCCAGAAGACGAAGAAGGTGTCAACAAGTGGGGTTATTATCAACGTCTGGTGTACGACGGAGAGCCCGATATCTCTGATGTACTCTCTGCCTCTGCGGCTCGCAAGTATATGGTGGCACTGAAAAATGCCATTGCCGCGGCCGACTCCAAGTCCGAGTCCGTGTCCGAGAACATGATTAATGCCGGTGCTGTGCTTCCACACTGGATCGTACGCTACGCCGTGGACAAAAGTGGTGGATTCGAGCGAGCGGCTGAGCTTCAGTGGAAGAGAATGGTGGAGGACGTGTACAAAAAGCAGGGGAGGCTGAACAACTGCTTGGCCGTTTGTGACGTGAAGGCGTCGGAGTCGGTGGCTCTGGGGATGTTTGTGTCTCAACTGAGCCAAGGGCCGTGGGAAGGAAAGGTGGTGAGTCACACCCAAAACCCTCAGCTGCATTTGGTACGAGGCGAAGATCTCAAGTCCAAGTTCAGCTTTATGCACAGTTTGGAGGAGCGTCAGGACTGGGAGGTTGATCTGGGGAAGGTGTATGATTTGATTCTGGAAGTGGCGGTGAATGAGAATGTGAAGGCAGAGCAGATGGTGAGGAAAGTCTTTGTGTTCACCTGCTTCAAACACTTCCGTAACGGCTGCTGGAAGCCTCGTGGCGGAGATTATGAGGAAATACAGAGGAAGTTTGAGGAGAAGGGGTATGCCGTGCCGCACTTGGTGATTTGGAATCTCCTCAGTGTGCTGTATGCGCCACTGCGTACCGGAGAGCCAGGGGTGACGTTGTTGGGTGGTTTCTCCGACGCAATGCTCAAGTCCTTCTTGGAGAATGACGGTGAACTTAGCCCCGAGCAGGTCATGGAATTAGCCATCTCTCCCCAAAGCTATCAAACTCTGGCTGTCTTCGACTGATTGATTTTTCTTCATAAAAATGAAAGGAGCTTGGCATTTTGATCTCTTCTCAAAACAAGTTATATGTAAACTTGTTTTTTGTTTATTTTGTTATTAGTAACTATCAGCAACAATGCTGAATGAATTACTTGGCTTGGCAGTCTTGAAATTGATATTCCTCCTTTGCTCTGTTATCCCCTCCCCTGCTTTTTTATTTTTATGACTGTTCAATTCGGATAAAAATCAATAGTTATAAAAAAAAACAACAACAACAACAACAATAAACTCATCCGCATACAAGTGTGACAGAGAAGGAGGAGGAAGAAGTTGAATGTTTCTGCATTGCACTTGGACTCTAAGCATCAAAGCATTTGAAGATGTGAATTAAAATCTGCAGATAAGCTGTGACAGGAGTGCCCAAATACTGTCAAAGATATGGTGGTGGGCTGGGCCTAAATATAATTTGCCTTGGCCCAAATCTTTAGCCTAGATTTGAAACCCCAAGCTTTACTGAGTGTTGAGGGATTGGACGGTAGGCTGAAAAAGCGCGGGAAAGGAGGCCCATATGTAGAGCCGAATTTGAAGAAAGAAGGGCAAAGGAGATGCTGACTGATACACAGATTAGGTATTTTGTCTGAAAGAATTGGGGGAAAATGGAGAAGGGAACCCAAGGGACCATAGTTCTGAGAAAAAACGCAAATGGAGAGTCAGAAGAAGAAGAAGAACAAGTGGCGGACTTGAGTGGTCAGGTGCACCTGCTCCCTTGCTCCATCAAATACTCTGGCCCTTCCTCCGTTTCCCACTACTTCAAAACCAAACCCACCGGTAGGTAATATATATATATATATATATATATATGCCCTCTTTTTCTCACAGACAATTTTGTGCAAACATTTATATGACATAACTGAGTAATGGGTTTTTCTTGGGGCTGATGAAGGAATTGAGTCTGAGGGTTTAAAGACGCAGGAAGCTAATTTCAGGGGAAGGAAGTTGCAAGGAGCCTCCATTCCCATCCCAAATGGGTATTCTGGTATGTCATTGTAGTTTCTGTCAGTAAATTCAGTACCTTGGTTTGTGTGGGCCCTTATCTTAGTCAATTTCTTCATCTAGTTTTTTAAGCTCTAGTTTTTTTGAGGTCAATGCTTCTGCATTGATGTTTTAGAGAGCTGGGTTGTTTTGAACGGTGGCAAATAAAGCTTCTAACTTTATGTCTGAGATCGCCAATAAGCCAACTTTTTAAAGTGTTGTAAACATTACCCGCTTTACTTTGTTAAGTTTCATCCACTTTTCTCTTCAAGGATAAGCTTTGGTAATCTCATATTCTCGTGGTGCTTTACTCTCATTGTTACTTCCTTTTAGGCCTAACAATACGTTTATTGTAAAGATCTTCCATTGCTCGTCATTATGTCCGAAATACCAATTACAAAACCTTTTCCATTTTTGCTCCATTTTATAGTTTATTCTTCCTCCCTTTGAAGGGAAGTATTTGGGCACCTTTACTCTGGAGCAAAGGTGAAACTGATGTTTTCATGATATAAAAGTGAAGGGAGAGAAAAATGAGACCCAGAAAGAAAAGAATGTGGTAGGTGACTATTGTTGTGTCTTATAATTGATCACCCTCATTGGGGCTTATGTGAGTGGTTACCACCTCCCTCTGCCGCATCTTTTCCTCAGCAAAAAGAAATAGAGTTCTTTGGGACTTGGAGATGTGTGTGAGGCTACTATACTATCAAAAGGTGGCTATCCTTAAGAGCTGACGGCTAAGCCTCTACTTTCATAGGTTGTAAAACGAGTAGGATGATAGGAGCTTTCAAGGGAAGTGATACCCTTGTTAATTCAAGATGGTGTTACTTGTATATATCACAGCGAATTCCATTTTTCTTGCCTTTTTTTTCCTTTTTCCTCAAATATCAAGATCCTCTGTTACAAATGTACTTTGTTTCCAACACATATACAAACGCATACAAGCACAGTGCAGGCAAACATGCATGCCATAGAAACGAACATGCATCATGACAAAAGGGGTCTCATCCTATGTTGTTTTCAAATGATGTAAATGAAAAGTTCTCTTTCAATTTTTGAAGAGTTTCTCCTTAATAATAATTGTTCTGCAGGATTTGTTCTAGGGAAGAAGAGTCTTGGCAAGAGAAAAGCCAATACTTCTGAAGGGAACTCAAACTGTTGGGAGATGAATGCGAAATATAAAAGCATCACATATTGGAATCATGACAGCCTCCCTTCACAGGATGATGCATTCTTACGTTGTTTTCACTGGCTTTCTGTAGCAAAATCTGTAAGTTTGTGCTTGATACCTCATATGGTGGTTGATAAATCTTGTTACATCAGTCAGTGGCCAGGTGTCTTGTGTATGTTGGTTTCAGTTTCATGTATTATCATTGATCTACCATTACATATTTAATCTGGAATAGTTAAGATTAGCTGTGAATAGTTGTGTTCCATGAAGTGCTTTGCTTTTTAAGCTATTATCTATAGAATATATGTAAGGCCTGTTTTACAAGGGTTTGATGTGTTGATCCTAATTCAGCTAATAAGTTTAAATCATAATATGTATTGTTCTAACAAGTTTGAATGGGTTGGAATTAGATTTGGTTTCAATTATCTTTAGACATTAGTACATTACTATGTTACACAATTGAATGGACTAAAACCAGATCTGGCAAAAATCTATAATCAATCATGATTTGGTGAGCTGGAGTGAAGTTGCATGCAATTGACTATCTTCTTGAGATTCACAATTTATGTATATAACAGATGATATCCATGTACTCTTGAGTTGTGAAGCTGAAATGCACTTTTCTTATTGATTTTTGGATCATGTTGATAACTATTGCTTAGTTTTATTATTTGAAAAGTGTTCGCTGTTCTTCGTGCCTTTGTTTATGACTGCAGATGCACGAACCAGCAACAGCGGAAGATTTGGTTTCTGCATCCGCTGCTTTGGAAAAGATGAAGTGATTAAGAAATGTAGGAAGCATTGTATCCCTTCCCCCACCTCTTCATTGTGCTGGGTTGAATCAGCATTTCTGTATTATTAAACGCTTGTAACATTGATATTTGATATATTGTATTGGCAGTAGAATTTAATTTAATTTGTTTTTGAAAGTTTGATGAACCTCATCTTAAAATCAAAATTTTGCTCTTTTAATTGCGAGTTTGAAAATAAAAATAAAAACAAACTGCCCATTTTCTACGTGTTAATACATGCGACGGTTCGATAAGCATCAATAATAGTCATCTTAGTTGGATATAGCTAAAATTCCTGGCACATTAAGAAAAACCATATAAAGGGAACATGATCCCATTCTTGCTGGATATGACATCAAGGGATGAACCCAAACTGCATATTGGGTACCAATTTGACCAAAAGAGTGCCAACCTTTGATGTAATGTGTGCAGGGAAGAAGCAACGCAGAAGTTTGTCAATTAAAAGCTTGAAGACATTTCATAGAAAAGAAACTCATGCAGTTAATCAAAAAGCTATATTTTGTCAAATTCTTTTGAGTTTACAAAAATGGCAGGTAATTATGACTTCAAGTTTGTTCTCTAAATTACTTCCAAATTTTCTCAAACTCTTCCTCCTTCAATTGATGTGCATAAAAAGGATTTTTTTAATATTTAATATTATTTATTTATTTAAGTACAAACGCGTTGGCACCAAGAAAATGAGATTCTAAAAAGTATATGTGCTTTGCGTCACTAAAAGTGTAAGTTGCAAAATTGTATCCCACTAGTATCTTCTGTCACAATTATGCTTTGCCTGCCGAAAGGGAAAAACCAATGACAATTAAAAAACACCATATATTCTTAATATTATTCTTGTATTTGTAATGGATGTCAATTTCTTTGGTGAAGTAGCGGCCACCATTGGAAATACTGAGAATTTGGGACGATCGAGCAAAGCAAAGCCAAGTGTACCCAAGTTGATCAAGATAAGCTCTATGATACGTGTCAGTGGGTTTGGATGGCAAAGCCAGCTGGAACGAAACATGTTTGCACCATACTTTAGATTCCGAGCAGTCTTCAACGTGATAGAGATGCATGCATGGTTTTCCAATATTGTGAGCCACCAGAGAGGGAAAGAACAAAAGTTGTGGGCATGTCAAAGGAAAAATGAATTGACCCTTTTTTTTAAGTTTATAAGAATGGTATTCTAAATTATTTTAATGTAAGGGTAGAAAGTTCGAATTTGAGCACAAGTAAAGAACGGATACACTGACCTAACCAACTGGAGCCTAAACTCACATTCTTATGAACATGTCTCACGTTTATACATTTCTCAAGACAGTTTGGTAGTAATCCAAATATATTCCTCTTTTAGAAAGCCAAGGAACCGTCATATATCAAGGAACAAAGCAATCACTTGATTCCCTATGTACATACTCAATTTTATTATTATTTGTTTTGGTTTGGCATTTTCTTGTTCTGTGAAAGGCATTAGATTCGTTCTCTTTAGATGTCCTGGATTAATTTATATATAAAAGGCTAACTGCGGCTATATCTTCAAAACAATATAGAGGCAGCTGAAGAAAAAAGAGAAGAAGAAGAAGAAGCAAAGAAGAAAACAGACTTTCGTTGACATATGGCTATGACCAAGCCTCATTTCCAAGCTGATAAAGACGAAATAATAAGCCTGCAGGACAAGGTAATTATTTAAGCATGTTATAAGATGTCACAATAAATTTCTTATAATATATCTTTGTTGATCATGATGATTAATTCATTGCTAAATATCTTGAATAAATTTTCACATGTGCCTATATATATGTATATTTATATGGACCCATAATAAGTTTGATTGTATTAATGTTTACAGGAAGGTCGCCTTTGCTACAACATCAAACCCCGAGGGCTTACCATTGTATGGGGCAATGATGAGCGCTATTGGAAATTACCAAAGTAATGAATGAGTTGTATTATATATGTTTGTACGCTTACTATTAATTATATTGATGATTACATCGCTCATACAAATAAGATTCATGTGGGTGAGATTGCTTATGTGAGCATGCCACTTTTATGAGAAATATGATCAACAAATATAGTACGTCTAGACAGGATGCATTGACGTAATTTCTTTTTACATTATCTATATGTTGTGTATATATGATCGTTTGCTATATTACCACATAACCCTTTTTTTTTCTTTTTCTTTTTTTGTGTGTGTGTGCAGTAAAGGGAGTGGTGATCCCGTGGAGCTGCTTCAGGTTTCTTGGCTGGAAGTGACGGCCACAGTTAACTTAAATCCTAAGAAGGAGTATGAAATTAGCTTTGAAGTAGAACTGGCACCAGATGCATTTGGTTGGAGAGACATACAAGCTTTCTTGATGGCCAAGGTAGGGAAAAAGGGAAAGTACAGATGGACAAAAGTTAAACTAGCGCAGGATTCAAATGTAGGCAGATTCACAATTCCTGATACAAACGGGAACGGCCAGACATTTAGCATTAGGAGTGATGATGATGCGAATGCCGACAACACGCTTCATTTTGGTCTGTATGAAGTCTGGAGTGGAAAATGGAAGGGAGGCTTGAAAATTTATGGAGCAAATGTCAAAGAAGTAACTGGAAAATGAGCTCAGTTCACTCAGTTCACTCAGTCTTTTCTATTACATGCATGCATATGTATTGAAATAAATATTTTCTACTTTGAGTTTTATGTATGTGATGACTAATATTAATAATGAGAACGGAAATCATGTAGACTGATTTGAGAAGGATCATTTACTGGTATGAAATATTTAATTTCTCTGAGCATGTATTTGTAAATGAATAAAAGGCTTTCTTATGTATTATGCACCAATTAATCAAATATATGTGTGTATGCGCGTGCGTGCGTGTGTGTATGGATATTTTAGCTCTGATTTCTTTAGATGAGTTACCTGCATTACCACCAACCCAGTCACCATATCCCAGTTTCTAATATAAATTTCATAGACCAGCTCAAAACATAAATTGATAAACTCTGCATTGGGATATCAGCATCATCTTTGTATAGACATCTTCCTATTTTGTTTTTGATATACTTTTCCTATGTATAAATATACATGACAACAATTATCTCAAGTCAATCGAAGTTCATGGCTCTCACGGATTGTATACGAACAACCAATTTATTTAGTTAATTTAAGTAAGACAAATTAGACAGATTAATTTTCAACATCTAAAACTTGGTTCATGAGTTGGCTTGATTATTAAAGCCAAACTACTTGGAATGTTCCACTGTGGTATCTGAGTCATTACAAGAAAAGAGGAATTTAGTGACAACCTTTTCAGCTGCAGGACAGAAAACTCACCTCCAAAAAATTTAGCTAGCAGTGGAAATTTGTCTACCCATGCAATGAATCTTGAATTTAGGTATTTACTACTTTCAACTATACCAAAGTGCTTTGTAGTCAGATAATTCTGCACCCAATTCACTGGCAACTTTGAAGATTTCACTTTCTCTGATTGATGGCATAAGGTATATTCATATAATATGATAATGATATACATATGTAGTTTTAAAAGTCACCATGAAGGTTGCTGCAACACTCTTCAATCTCAATTCCAGGGGATATGTTTTCCAACTTCTATAAGGCCTTCAAATATAATGTAAAAGTCTAAAACAATATATGGGGAGCTTTTGATCGAATGTCCAAAGTAAATCAAGATGATCATGACATATTGCTTTATATATCGGATGTGATGCCCTTACCTTAGAACAAAAGCTGTTTTTTCTCTGCATAAATATATATATATATATATATATATATATGATCAACAACAAAAAGTTTACCATATGGAATAAAGGCTTTTTCTGATATTCCGAAGTGTTTACCAACCTATTGGTTGTTAATTCATGCTTGACAATGTTACAATGACATCAGCATGAATAAGAAACTGAAAACTAAAGAAGAAGAAAAAAAATTCACAGGGCATATTTCTTGGGTTACGAGCTAAAACCCTCATCCTCCTCCTCATCCAAACCTTTTACGGTGTACACATTGATATGAAAATCATAGATTTATATGCATGCCATGGAAATGACCAACCAAACCTTGGATAGAAGAAGTGTATTGAAGAGATGGGGGGGTGCGGTCCTCAAACGACAGAGGCCAAGTGAACAACCAAGTAATAACAAGCCAGGGGAGAAAGTAACAGAAGCAAAGCCGGCTCCTAACCCACCGCAGCCAAGTGAACAACCAAGTAATAACAAGCCAGAGGAGAAACCAGAGCCGGCTCCTAACCCACTGAGGCCAAGTGAACAACCAAGTAATAACAAGCCAGAGGAGAAACAGCAGCTTCCAGAAAACTATGAAGCTATTGTGAGAGATGCTGACTCACTCATCGGCAAATCCTCAGTCGAAAACCTCCTTGAACAGCTCCATGCTGGAATAACCTTAAACCATAAGAGAAAGGCAAGCCCAGCATCTGAAATTCACACTATGCTCAGATGATTTAGTTTTGTGAAATGTGAAATATTCCAGTTCGTGCTGAAATTCAGCTCCAAATCAAAATATAGGGGGCTTTTAATTTGATTTAAAGAAGGGCAACTTGTAAGTGAACTTAGAAACCGACCATCTTGGTTGTCATTATTTTTTTTACTATTGTTAGCATTATCACTGTTATTGCACAAGTATTGGGTTGACAAGAAGTCCAACAACTGCTTTATGGTGTATGCAAGGGATCTCTCGATCTCTTGGGCTGAAGACGATCGTAACCGGCTCTGGCCCTCCCTGCAAGAAACCAGGTACCAAAAACTTCAATATATAACTTATTGGTTTCTCAGTTTCTCCAGTCCTATTGAAGTTGAAACAGATGCAATATATACAAAAAATAAATATCATGAAATGCAATCAGTACTCTCAATCCTAACTCAGGTTTCATTGCAGTGGTGTCGTCATTGATGCTGCTGAACTGATTAATGAATGTTGGCTAGAAGTGCATGGAAAATTTAAAACTACAAAGCTGTCACCAGGACCTCTGTATGAAGTTGTGTTTGTGGTCAAGCTGAAAGCTTCAGCTGATGGAGGGGATGTTCCAGTGAATGTCAGTCCCACTCTTCCAGGGTAGCAAACAATGGGATGAAGTTAATTTGATGGAAATCCAAGAGAGCAATGGATAGAGATTTCGGTTGGCTAGTTTATAGCATCACTGAAAAACCTGGGGACATGGAGTTTTTGATGTATGAATATGATAGTGGGAAATGGAAGAGAGGACTTGTTATCAAGGGTGTTACCATTCGGCCTATAAACTAAGTTGCAGAATACTCTTAACAACTTTGCTTAGGAGCAGAGATATGATTTTCTGGGTTTTTCATATGAAGACAGAAATGAGAGATGCATATGTAAGAAATGATCAGAACAGAATAATGAAACAATGATACAACTCACATTTTTGCTTTCTCATTTCTGCTTCAGTCATGATGCCATCTGGAGCTTCACAAATTCTTTCGAAACATAGTTGTTGATTAGTTGTGTTCATGATTTCAGAAAACTTCTGAGTACTTTGCTTCAGTATTGGTCTACAATAAAGTCTTGGAGCTTTGCAATTTTTCAAGTTTTAAAAACCTTCTATTGGCCTTTCCAAAATTTTCTTCCAAGAAACACCAAGAATTTCTGGTATTAGTGTCTGTTTTTAGATTAGCAAGAACAATTGCAGCTCAGTAAAGTAATTCCACACATGTATAGATTATCTCCATTTTTGTTTCTGATATACTTTTGCTATGTACATGAAAACAATTGATTCAAGTCGATCAGCGTTCAAGCTCTCACAGATTCTATATGACAAGCAGATTATTTAGTTCATTTGAGTAAGACTAATTTCACAAATTAATTTTGAACATCTAAAACTTGGTTCATGAGTTGGCTTGATTGAGCCAAACTCTGAGTCATTACAAGAAAAGAGGAATTTAGTGACAACCTTTTCAGCTGCAGGACAGAAAACTCACCTCCAAAAAATTTAGCTAGCAGTAGAAATTTGTCTCCCCATGCAATGAATCTTGAATTTAGGCATTTACTACTTTCAACTATACCAAAGTGCTTTGTAAATTGTAGTCAGATAATTCTGCACCCAATTCACTGGCAACTTTGAAGATTTCTCTTTCACTGATTGATGGCACAAGGTATATTCATATAATATGATATACATATGTAGTTTTAAAAGTCACCATGAAGATCGCTGCAACACTCTTCAATCTCAATTCCAGGGGATATGTTTTCCAACTTCTATTATGCCCAGGAAAGTAGAAAAAAAAAAAAAAAAAAAGGCTTTCAAATATAATGTAAAAGTTTAAAACAGTATATATGGGGAGCTTCTGATCGAATGTCCAAAGTAAATCAAGATGATCATGACCACTTACAAATATTATTTTATTAAAGGGAATATATATCGGATGTGATGGCCTTATCTTAGAATAAAAGCTGTTTTTCTCTCTGCAGAATGGAATATATATGATAAACAAACAAAAGTTTACCATATGGAATCGAATAAAGGCCTTTTCTGATATTCCAAAGTGTTTTTCAACCCATTGGATGCTAATTCATGCTTGACAGCAGCATGCATGAGAAACTGAAAACTAAAGAGAGAAAAAAGTTCACAGGGCATCTTTCTTGGGTTACCCTCATCCTCATCCTCATCCAAACCTTTAACGGTGTACACATTGATACGAAAATCATACATTTTATATGCATGTCATGGAACTGACCAATCTGACCCTGTTTTTTTATCTATATATAAGTAAAAACAAGCATTGGATGGAAGAAGTGTATTAAAGAGATGGGGACTAGCTGGTCACAAGATGAGGCCAATAACTCACAGTCGCAGCCAAGTGAACAACCAAGTAATAACAAGGCAGTGGAGCAAGCAACGGAAGCAAAGGCTGCTCCTAGTGGCTCTAAACCCATGGCAGTGGAGAAAACAGCTCCTGACCATCAGGCTAAGCTCTCAGCTAACAACAGCAACCATGAAATCACAGTTGTGAAAGAAGTTAAGGAAATGGAGAAAAAGACAGCAACACAAGTAGTTAAACAGCAGCTTCCACACAACTATGAAGCTATTGTGAGACACGCTGACTCAACCATCAACAAATCCTCAGTGGAAAACCTCCTTGAACAGCTCCATGCTGGAATAACCTTAAACCAAAAGAGAAAGGTAAGCCCTGCATCAAACACTATGCTCAGATGATTTAAATTTGTGTAGTTGTACGTTAGCTACATATATACATAACCCTATGCACATATTTAAGCTTCTGAAATGTGAAATATTCCAGTTCGTGCTGAAATTCAGCTCTAAATCAATATTTATGGGGCTTTTAAGTTGATTTAAAGAAGGGAAACTTGTAAGTGAACTTAAAAACCAACATCTTGGTTATGTCATTATTTTGTTGACTATTGTTAGCATTATTATCACTGTTATTGCAGAGGTACTGGGTTGACAAGAAGTCCAACAACTGCTTTATGGTCTATGCAAGGGATCTCTTGATCACTTGGGCTGAAGACAATCGTTACTGGCTCTGGCCCTCCCTGCAAGAAACCAGGTACCAAAAACTTCAAGACATAATTTATTGGTTTCTCAGTTTCTCCACTCCTATTGAAACTGAAACAGATAAACGCAATATATACAAAAAAAAAAAATATTATAATAATAAAATAAATATCATAAAATGCTATCAGTACTCTCAATCCTAACTCAGGTTTCATTGCAGTGGTGTCGTCATTGATGCTGCTGAACTGATTAATGTATGTTGGCTAGAAGTGCATGGAAAATTTGAGACCTCAAAGCTGTCACTAGGAACTCTGTACGAAGTTGTGTTTGTGGTCAAGCTGAAAGCTTCAGGTTATGGATGGGATGTTCCAGTGAATGTCAGACTCACTCTTCCAGATGATAGCATACAATGGCATAAAGTTAATCTGATGGAAATCCCAAGAGAGCAATGGATAGAGATTTCAGTTGGCGAGTTTAGAGCATCACCCGAAAAACCTGGGGACATGGAGTTTTCGATGTATGAATATGATGGTGGGAAATGGAAGAGAGGACTTGTTATCAAGGGTGTTACCATTCGGCCTAAAAACTAAGTTGCAGAGTAAACAACTTTGCTTATGAGCAGAGATGATTTTCTGAGTTTTTCATAAGAAGACAGAAATGAGAGAATTGCATATGTAAGAAATGATCAGAACAGAATAATGAAACAATGGTACAACTCACATTTTTGCTTTCTCATTTCTGCTTCATTCTTAATGCCATCTGGAGGTTCACAAATTCTTTTTAAACATAGTTGTTGATTAGTTGTGTTATTTCAGAAAACTCCAGAGTACTTTGCTTCAGTATTGGTCTACAATAAAGTCTGGGAGCTTTGCAATTTTTCAAGTTTTAAAAACCTTCGATCGGCCTTTCCAAAATTTCCTTCCAAAAAACAACAAATATTTCTGGTATTAGTGTCTATCTAGATTAGCAAGAGCCATGCAGCTCAGTAAAGTAATTCCACACAGAGGTTCAATTCTTGAAGAGAGAGCAAATGATCATTAACCATGTTTAGCTCAGATTTAGAACAATCCAAACTCTTTCCATTTGCCTATAGCAACATGTGTAATTTATATGTAATTTACAGTGAACGTCGCCAATGTAACATTAAGAGACCACCTTTCTGTGGAAGTCATTGTTCACAGCACGATTGGCAAAAATACAAAGAACAAGAATAACTGTCAGGTGTATCAAATGTAGTAATTTTCAGGTGCATCAAATGTCCGTTGTGTAATCGTCAGGCTTGTACCACAATGAGAAAACGATTCCTTTGCTCTTCAATTTCTCAGTTGCAGGTGCAATCCTCTCCAAAAGCTGCATTTACAGAAATATAATTATGTACAATCACTTCCTTAAAACCAATAGTACATTTAATCTTCTAAGTCTTTTTACTGCAAACTAAAGCACTATTGCAGAGCTTTGTTACAGTAACCATCTGCCCTACCCACTCACCCATCCGTTCGCTCCAAATCCATCCCAACCCAACATTGAAAAAGAAGAAAGGGAAAAGGGAAAAGAAAACACGCCACTTCATAAGTAGCATCAGAAAGTTGGGCAAAAGGAATTGGTCTTTGACTCTTCACAAATTACTATATAACTAGTAAACAGGATTGGTGGTCCGCCTAATGAAACAGCTTTTAAAATTTATGATCATGCATTCTACAAATGACTGAAAGGTTGTAAATCAAATGAATTCATAAGAAAAGTTGTTGCATCAACCTTTACACATAAGGTTTCCGTAAACAGATTGTCGATAAAGCAGAAGATAAGACTAACCTTGCCATGCAGCACACCATTGGATACCAAAACAGATCTATCAAATACACAAAAGTTTCCGCCATCCATGCGAGTAACCTTTCCTCCAGCTTCTTCAACTATCTGCTCAAAATTGCAATAAGAATTTCTATGAATACTTGTAATGGCACATCTGGAGCACCAAGATTTCTGCTGAGGGAAAGGAACACTTAGTCTTCATGCATCAGTTTAAACATCTTGGCGCATAAGATTGTCCTAAGCTACAGTTCCAAATACTTACCATAATCTTCAAACACTTTCCATGAAAATGTAAACAAATATGTCCAATTACAGAAAGCCTACTTATCTGATACATTCTAGAACTGAAGGTGTGCTCTGAGGTTTCACAACTCTTTCTAAATATAAATGGGAAAAGGAGGAATGTCACTTCTAATTAGAATGCAAAAACAACAATTACTCCTAGCGAAACAATGTCTGGAACCAATTGATTCGTAGAACTATGAAGCCCTCCTGCTAGTGATGCATGAGAATCCAAGGCTTTTAAGACCAAGTGGGCCTACTTAGCTTTTGGGCCAGCCCACTAGCTACAAGTTCAGAAGGCATTGTTTGTGCATGAACGCTTATGATATGATCAATAGGAATGTAGAAGAGAAATATGGGATACGACTTCTAAATAGATATTCATTTCACCTATTACGGATTAAAATAATGCCACAATCGTTAGCAAATGCATTTGTGAAACAAACAAAACATTACCAAGACACCAGCTGCCATATCCCATGGCTTTAGTCGATATTCCCAGTATGCTTCTACAATCCCAAGAGCTACATGGCACATGTCTACTGCAGCGGCACCGAGCCTTCTAACACCCTAACATTACAATATGGGGATAGAAACAAGGAAAGGGGAAAAAAAAAGTTGAACTTAGACATGAAGAGAAAGATTGAGAGAAAACTAGGAAAAAAAATTATTCCTGAAGTTCATAACAAAATAGCTTATTCAAAAGAAAAGTTAATACCCTGCTGATGTCAGTAAACTCCTTAAATAACTCTATGTTGGTGGTCCATGCGTCATCATGTTCATAACCAAATCCGGTAACAAGAAGAGATCGCTCAACCTGAAATATGGAAGAGTGGGAGCCTCAATAAAATATAAAAGGGTTTCAGCTTTCAGAGTATGCCTAACACATGAGATAGGTTATCTTCCTCTCTTAGGCATGCATCACCATGCCTAACTCGAGCCTAAAATACAATCGAAATTTGGTTATGTAGAATCAAGTTTCTGAAGACATGTTAAGTCTTGTGAACATGTGGGAGACATTTTCCCAAGGGCACCTAGTAAGAGTCACCTTTCTGATTAGCGTAACAAACTAGACGTGATAATATCTACTCTAAATCTTGAGGAGTATTACAGTGCTGTAATATATTTCAGTGATAAATATAAATAGGATCCAGCCTCTCTGAGCGATTTTGGCTAACAAGTTAAGTTTTGTATTTTCTCTCTTCGGAATTATCACAACAAACGATAATCAAGATACCACTGCAAATATTCTAGCATCACATAGGATCAGACACAGCCATTGACCAAAAGAAATATGATTCGGTGTAGCAGCAAATTTCAAATCTTTTAGACTAACCTCATCTGTTTGACTCACGTGAATTTTTTGACCATTACAAAATGCTCCGCCACCTAACATAACATGAATTATCAATCAAAGTTTCAGAATATGATTAACTTAGAAAATCAAATAAATAAAGATATAGACCAAATTTTCATACCAGCACTAGCAGAAAATATGCGGCTATTCCAACACATAGGGCCCCCAACAAACTCTACCTGAAAATATAAATGAAAAAACCAGCGTGTTGTTTCCCCATTAAGACAATAATATATGTTGCAATACAAAATAATAATTGGCCGACATCCTAACAGTTCGATTGTTTTAAGAATAATGCTAAATCAAAAGAACTTATCTTGGTAATAGAGTAGGAGATACCGAGTTCAAATGGTTGCGATTGCAACCTTGCATTATAAGCTGAACTCCACAAGTTGGGCTCTAATATGAGGCCCGTATGTGAAGGGAGTATTAGGATATAAAATATACAAATTTATAAATAAACCCAATACTAGACATGTATTTATAAAAAAACCCAAGCACTATTTAAACATAGAAACACACCCAAAATCAACCCCAAAGTCAACTTTTTGAGTGTGTTTATAAATGGGTTTTGAGTGTGTGTAATGATGGATTTTGGGTGTGTTTATATGTTTAAATAGTGCTTGGGTTTTTTTATAATTTCAACGACTTAAGGTTTTGGAAATGATGGTAAACCAACAGAACTTAACAATATAAGTACTATAGACAAAGTCCACACTCAACTTCTAAAAACTAGCTGATACTGCACCCCTCAATACATCTTCAAAAAAGAATAGCACTTTAATGCATTTACATATTTTCCTTTCTCTTTGATGATCACCAAGATATTTTTATTTGCATTATTCACACATCTTGTTCATTAATAAGCTTGAAAGAACTAGAGGTGCATCATAACCATGCATCATGCACTAACAATCTCAGGACCAGTGATTGTGATGATTTTCATAGGCATCTTAACAAAACAAGAAATCATGCAAATAACATGTCAAATACAATCTACTTTATGTGATTAGTACCACGGCGGCAGCAGCAGGTTTTCCTCGAAATAGAACTCCCACAGAAACTGCAAAGCTAGGATAACCATGTGCAAAATTTGTTGTTCCATCTACGAAGATATCAGAGGTTAGATAACACAAAACTAAGAATTATCATGTTAGTCCTATAAAAGGTATCTGGAAACAAATATCTCTGGAAGATTGCCCACTAACCTAGCTACAAGTTTCCACCCTAAATAGGTCTCTCTAAATTTGTGCTGGTCATTGGAAAGTCCATCTCTAAATTTTCATATATAAACGTAGGAATTTCTGGCTATCTAAATAAACTTAAGATTTACTGCTAGATATAATTATGGAAAAAGTAAAAAAGTGAAAAGTTATGAGGCAAGATTTATGAAGTCTTAAACAACTTTTCATGTGATCTACTGTAAGTTCCAAAACATCAAAAGTACAAAATGATGTCAACATAATGGCCTTTTAAACAACCCTAAACTCAACAAGCATACCTAAACTGAACCTTAGATTCAGCAAACATGGAAAATCATGGCATTCTATCTTCTGCAATATTTTTTACTATGACAGGCTAAGGATTAGACTACTCCCATGAGCTACCAGACACATCTCCCTGTTTTTACAGGATAAAGAACACCGCATCTCTTTTTTTTCCTTTTATTTTCTTATTTTTTTGCTAACTAATCCTCCAAAACATTCACAGGTCACCAATATCAGAATAAATAGATATATTATCTATGGAATCTATTTGTCTAGGCTTTATGAAATTAACTATCACAAGGAGTAGAAGCTGTATCAACCATTTCTATCAAGATAAACCATTATGCTGATAAATTTGTAAGTTGTATGCCAAAATGAATACTTAAGCAGTTGGATACATATATGTAAATATCAAAACATACAGTTCTCAAGCCCCAGAAGATTTTTTCTCATAGTAAATAGAAACTTGCAGAATCTGTATCTTAAAAGATACAAACCTAATGGATCAATGCACCACAGATAATCAGATGAACTATCTCCAATAATTCCACCCTCCTCTCCAAGAATAAGGTGATCTTTGAAGTTCTTTCTCACAACTTCTAAAATTGTTGCTTCACTCTTTTTATCTGTGCTGCAAATAGTTTCCACATCATACGAAAATTCTTGCTAGGGTATTATATATTTAAGAATGAACAGAATCCATGATAAGTGAATCTTTCTTCATCATGAGGAATCATGCTTGTTTATAAAAGGTTCAACCTCTACATAAAGTGTTAACCTCTACTCTATTCTAGAAAGTGTTACCACTACAAGTCAGTTGAAGCATTAAAACATACACCACTAGTGAAAGCATGTTGATTTAAATTCTTACTCAGTGACCAAGTCTGTCAGCCCTTTATAGGTAATATTCCGAGGCTTATTAACAGCATCCATCACAACCTGAAAAGAGAAGCATATAACCTAAGCTATAAGAATGGATGATTTGAAAAAGTTCATCATAACTGAATAATGGACGAAAGGGTGGGACAGAGGGATACAATCCGATGATTCTACATTCTTTCATAGCAACAATACAGTATTATCTTATACCACACAGGAAATGCTCTCCTTTTTCTATCTCCTTTATAGTGGAAGTCTTTTTTACTATGTGTAGTTGCTAATTTCTATGACATTTGACAAGAAAAATTAACATTTCATCACAACTAACACTCTCAAAGTAAACAAAAGCATTGAAACGAGTATCCCTACCACAATTAAGATACACAAAGGGATTAAAAACATTTTGTAGCATACCTCACAAACTAAAAACTTGGATATTTTAGATGCTTAGCGTACTACGGGGAAGAACTAAATGCAAATGCCAACTGGGGGTTATTCTTTAGATTAAAGAATTTATATAATACATGCACATTCAGACAAACACTGCGCACGCACAGACAGAGCTAGAGAGCAAACCTCAGCACCAGTTTTTGCAGCCTTCTCAACCACTTCAATGAGCTGACTAATTGGTATTGGCCCAGTTGATTTGGCGCCCACTTTTACATACGTCTTCTGATTTGGAATTTCAGATAACACAGCCTTTGTGCAGAGAGTTCTCGTGGGTTTGGCAAATGAAAGTCCAAATCTTTGAAACCCATGTTGTAATTGTTCCCTCGAGTTCAGTGAAAGTGACTGGTTTGGTTGATTGGGCGGTAAAATTGATCTTGGTATTTGAGAAAATCTCACAGGAAGGTTTGGGGAGAATACCAGAGACCTGCCCATTTGAATTGAATCGACTCAATGGAGATTAAGGTGTTCCAAGATTTTCTCCGTATCTTAAAGCGTGTTTTCGATGGATACGTGAGGCTCGTTTTAGGAAGAAGATAAAGAGTAGCTTCACTGGGACTGGGTGGGTGAGCACAGCGCCACAAAGCTTGCTTTGGTTTTTTATTTTGTCAATTTTAACGATATGGTAACATAATTAAAAGTCAAGCAAAAATTAGTGTTTTCCAAATTAAAGACCTATGTATGCTTTTCTTTTTGTAGATAATCATTTCTTTTTCATTTTTCATTTTTCATTTTTTTAATTGAAAATTGAAAACTGATTTGTTAACTAACATTATTTTTTAGTTCTTCAAAAATTGTTAAACTAATTTCAATAATTTTGAAGACTCTCGGAAATCAATTTCAGATTTTAATTTTCAGTTTTCTATTTTTTTTTCTGCGCTCTCTCGGCTCTTTCAAGAGGGATCCCGAGCCTCTACATTTAGTATTCACGCATTATACACATTTAAAAGAATCTTAACCATTCGATTAATCTAATGGAGATTAAGTATTACACCTCAATGTTGTTATATGTTATTAAAAACTCACTCGTTACACCGAATCACTTACTCTTCTCTCCTACGATCTTTCTTTCCCATTCACTCTTATAATTATATCATTTTCATTACTATCCAAACCCGTAAATTGAATGAACCATTTTTCGGTCGAACCACAATTAGACTAATTGCACATCGACCAACAAAGAACAAACCATACAATCATGGAAATATTTTTCAGATTCTCAAGAAGGGGGAAAGGTACATGCTTCTCTCATGCACATCCTTCTCTCTTTGACTTGCAGGACTATGGAAAGAAATAGAGATTTTCTATTTAAACCTTACACTTCTCTTTGTTCACTCCATATTCTAAGTTCACCCCAACTTCTAATTTAAATTTTCATAATTTCTAAGAAAACCTCACTATCTTCCCAAACTACCCTTAAATACACACCAAGCTGAAAAAATAAGAAATAAAAGAATTTTTCTATTTAAACCCCACATTTTTCTGTGTTCACTCCAATACTTAAATCATTAAACAATATTTGTAGTATACATGAGATTTTGTTGTTTTCACAAGGCTGTTTTTATCATGTGATTAAAAAGGTTAACTAATCATACAAAGATGTGTGTGGTATGGTTCAAACCTCATACCACTGACATGCAAGTTAAGACCTTTTTTTACGGGATTAGACTCCATTAGCAATAGGATGTAAAGGAGTTTGTACTTTTCTAAAACTTAATATGAAGAGTGATGGGGTGTGTGTATATATAGATGTACTAGGGTTAAATATTAAGTTGAATGACCTTTTTTTTTTATAATCTTTTTACACAATAATAAAACTAACATCTTAATAATTTAAGTATTTGGGTGAACAAAGAAAAATGCAGGGTTTAAATAGAAAATCTCAAGAAATACAAAGAAAAGCTCAAAGCTTGCTATTAAAATATTGAAAATTATTGAACTGCAATAAATTTTTAGGCTTGATATCAAGTAATTAACCTTTTTTGGCTCCTGCTTTCTTTGAAAAAAAAAAACCTTTTTGGCTCATGCATTATCAATATCATTATTACTATTTACTAAAACAAATTTTAATTATTTATTGCCGTTTTGGTGCCACATTTTTCTTTGATACAGTGCAAATTGTGAGTTTAAATATAATACAACTATTCTGAGGTGGAGTAATTAATCTTCATTAGATTAATCAAAGGGTTAAGATTCTTTTAAATGCGTGGATGCTAAATATAGAGGCTCGAGATTCGATACTCAACAACAATCTGGTCTTGGAGTTGAAGCCCAATATAATGGGCCATAAGGATTTCAGCCCAATATAATGGGCCACAAGGATTTCGGCCCAATATAAAAGACCACACGGCAGTTCCTCCCATTTTTAACTTTAACCTCTCTAATATTTTTACTTGCTGTAAATTTGTCTACTTTTCCTTTTTTCTTTTTGCTTCTTATTGCTTTGTCCTTAATTTACTAAATGCTAAGTAGCAATAATCAATGGTCTGCCAAAAATTGTCAATGGTCTGTTTTTTTTTATTTTTTATTTTAATGACACTGGAGGAAAAACCTCAAACAAAACCTACACAACACGAACTAAACGGGGCCTAGAGACCCCAATCAGATCATCAACCAAAGCCGCTCCAGCCCAAAAAGGCATTGCGTCAAACCAACAAATACCTATGTCCAGATTATAGCTTCTATTAGCAAGACAGTCTGCCAAGCAATTCCGCTCCCAATAGACATGTTGAAGATCACAAACACGTTTAGTTCCATGAGATGACAAACCAACAAGGGGGTGACCTCCAATAGTATCAGGATTTTTCATGAGATGCACAACTGAATCCATTTCAATCACAAGATTAGAGATCCCTCAAGCCACAACAAGCTGCAAACCAAAAAACAACCCATTCAGCTTCCAAAATCTATCATATCCCCAAGTTAACAAAAAATCCACCAACCCAATCTCTCAAGGAATTACGGATTACACCCCCAGCACCAATAGCCCCAAAACAAGGCTTACAAGTACCACTGTACCATCCACATTTAATTTAAAAGCTCCGATCCTAGGATGCACCCAAGCAAGCTCAAGCTGCATTTTAGTAAATTTAGGATTGACACAATTGATGAAACAAAGCCACTCCTTCACAACAAACTTGAATAATCTTCGGAGGACAATTAGGGAACTCCTCAAGCTAGCTCAGCAAAAATATTCTGATTCCTCCACTTCCAGATAAACTAGCAAGTAAAAATAAACATAATGTGCCAAGGGATTCCTTCCCCCCAAGTTGCCTTAGAACATAGATTACCTATGAGCCAAGACTTGACTTCAGCATTAGAAAGAGCAGAAACTTTGCTTGGCAAGCCAACAACCCTCCAAACCTCTTTACCTTTAGGACAATCTCTCAAAAGATGCACAACATATTAGTTAACAGCCTTCTTGCCCGTTGTTCATTTGTCAAGATTCTCCCTTGCAAGACTAACCAGAAGAAAATTTTAATTATCAATGGTCTTCGAATCTAGCAAATAATCGTGCAATTCAAATGGATAAGTGTTGGTCCGAACTCAACAATTTTCATTACCTTGGTTCCAAATGACTTCATGTTGGTCTCACCATAATGCAAGGCATTCTTTTTGCGTATATGACTAGATGAGTGATGTGATTCATTCACCGTACCAAGGAACTTCTCTTATAGAAGTGTAACTATTTTCAAAATAATTCACCTTAACTAAATAGTTTAAGTTTTTTTTTTTTTAAAGTTGGCTAGTTTCTTACGTGATTTATAAATCGAATTGTATCCAAAACAAGATGTTTTAATCATATTAAGATATTTCTTAGCTCGGAATATTATTGAGGACTCAAAAGGTCAAGAGTGACTCTCGTTCAAACTAACAGATGTTTTTGCAAAGCATCCCATCTAGAAGCAAATTAAGTAGCAAACACAGTCCTTTCTCCCAACCTTCCTTCCTTCCTCAGGTCAGGTCCATCCTTGAAATGAAGCACACAACAGAAGCTTCTTCTTCTTTGACTTTGAAAGCATCAAAACCAACTACAAAATACCCAACAAAAAGGAAGCCTATGCCACGTGTCGAGACATGATAGGTAATTGAAAATGCATGTGTGTACTTAATTGGCGGCGATAAATAATTCATATTACTCATACAAAGGCAACAAACAAACAACTGATCTCATGTTCCTTATATTGACTTGTTTGGGCTTGGGGGCCGCCAAGTATGAAATATCTATAAGACTAACGTAGCCAGAAAAAAAAACCAATAAATTCTCTAAGCTCTCCTCCTATCTTCATCTCCTACAATATCAATCCTGCTCATCATGAGTCATTACCACCATCATCATCACCAGGCTCCAGGTAAATTACCATATTTAATGTCTGTTTATGTGATTTCATTGGTTAATTAATCCCATTTAATATGTAACTTGGATGTTTACATTTAGCTAGTTTACTTTGTTCATGATCAAATATCAACATTTGTGATCACCAAATTGCAGAGGTATATCCACCACCACCCACCTCTTACCCTCCACCGCCTGCCGGCACATATCAAGGGTATCCGCCTCCTCAACCCTATCCAGCGCCACCACCCGTAGTTCACGGATACAATCAAGGTGGTCCATATGTTGTTGCACCACCAGTTGCTTACCCCATGAAACATGATGGTCCTGGATACCCCCAGCAGCAACAGCAGCCAACAAAGTCTCATCATAGTAGGGGTGCTGGATTTTGGACAGGATGGTAAATGAATATTCTGAACCCCCCCTTCAATTATTTTTTCCTAAATAAAATCAACTAATTTCTTATCATGTTTATACTTAATTCCATATTGGTTTCTTTGTATATCGACAGTTGTTCTGCCATGTTCTGTTGCTGCCTCTGCGACTTGTGCTGCTTGCCCTGCTCAATCTTTTAATTTTTTCAAGCGTTGTAACTTCATAATCTTCCCTTTTTCTGTCCGCTATGTTTACTTCCATACAGTGAGATTGATTCTCTTTTGTGTAAAGTTTTGCAATAATACATGCAAATTTGCTACATGCATATGTTACTAAGTGTCCTAATTATAAAATTATTATACTCAGTTAATGTCTAATCTTCACTAGCTTATATATATATATATGTCACTATGTCCCACGTTATATATGCTGCATTGCAATGCATCAAACATACTACGAGAAACTTTAATTGGCTTGAAGAGACTTTTCAACCAGCTTAATTATAAATTAAGGCCTTCATGGCAAACCATCTTTGACAAATCTCCCTACTAAAGAACATTAAACTCATGAAAGCCTTGTTTGGCGGGCTAGTTTGGACATGATTATTGCAATTAAATAGAACTAGTGTTCTAGCCGGTATTTGGTTCACCAATAAGAATTGTGAACAAAACTTATGCGTTGGACTAAGCAACTCCAGTAGTCACTAGTTGAGACATGGATCACAAGGAAACAAACAAGGCTCAAAGCCAAGTCCTAACCTAACCAGTCTTTTCCAATACTCAAAATCCATTGTGTTTGATAAGTTTAACCGAATTGAAAGATTTCAATTAAAATGAAAGTGTCTTGGCATTGTTTGGTGTATTGAGATTGAACTTATTAAAATGAATAACACTCTAACATATTGTGTCTTACAAGTCCCACCTAGAGAAGTGAGACTCATAAGGTCTACTTTCGACTCAATTCCAATTCCAATCCAAATCGGGCCACCAAACGAGCTGAGGACAATACTATTTAGGTTGGCACATACGTCCACTTCTATATTGTTAACCCATTTAATATTTCTTCCTGAATTTTCAGAAAGCCTTAATCATAGGAATATTATATCTATATGGTAAAAACATAGAGCAATATGGAAAAATAAAATCAAAGCCGAAAAGATAAATCACTTGGCCCAAGTATGTATGTAGATTCGATAGTCTTGGACTCTTGGGTTGTCTACTATTTAGGCCACGCCTGGCCTGGTTTGCTCTATTGGGCTTTTTTGTAATTTCTCATCGTTAATTGCCCATTTGTGAAACCAACACCCTCTAACAACCAAACGTATATAAAGTAAAAACCCCTTCACTGAGCTGCTTCCTCTTCCCGCAGCCTCCGAGTTTGCTTAGGGTTTTCAACATTTTCTCGGGGAAAACAAAGAGGAAGCGAAAATGGTGAAATTTCTCAAGGCAAACAAAGCGGTGGTGCTCCTGCAGGGACGATACGCGGGCAGGAAAGCCGTGATCGTGAAATCCTTCGAGGAAGGGACACGTGACAGGCCGTACGGGCACTGTTTGGTTGCGGGGATAGCCAAGTACCCGAGCAAGGTAATCAGAAAGGACTCGGCCAAGAAGACGGCCAAGAAGTCCCGGGTCAAGGCCTTCGTGAAGCTCGTGAACTACCAGCACATGATGCCGACGCGCTACAACCTGGACGTCGACCTGAAGGAGGTGCTCACGGTGGACGCATTGCAGACACGCGACAAGAAGGTAGCGGCGAAGAAGGAGATCAAGGCCCGGTTGGAGGACCGGTTCAAGAGTGGCAAGAACCGATGGTTCTTCACCAAGCTTAGGTTCTGAGTCGTTTGGCTCCCTCTCTATGTTTTTCCATTTTTAGTTGTTATGTGATACTAGCATATAATTTTGAGGATTATTATTGCAAGTTTTGGTTTAATATGTTTTAATAATATTAAGATAGTTCTTAGCTGCTGCTGCTTTGACTCTGAAAGCATCATCAACCAATCAACTTCCCACAAAATACCCAATGCCACGTGTACTATATTGACGCGTCCTTTGGTGTTGGCGGCTGCCAGCCGAGTACGAAATATTCATAAGAGTAAGACTGTGGCCAGAAGAAAACCAAAATATTTGTATGAGCTCTCCTCCAATCATTTTTTTTCCCCAAACGAAAGAAAGTTTATTAAAGTCGAACGGAAAGGTTTATCAAAAACTCACTCAGTCCACACTTGGTTCCATATTCTTGACACAAAAGCCGCAACCCAGTGCGTTGCCTTATTACACTGAAGGGGAGTATCTTTGAAAACTACCTGCTGCAACTGTCCAGCAAGCATCTATCTTCAAGACTGCTCATCATGAGTCACGATCACCACCATCATCACCAGGCTCCAGGTAAATTACCATTTAATGTCTGTTTATGTGATTTAATTGTCTAATTAATCCCATTTAATATGTTACTTAAACTGGGATACTGGGTTGAATTGCAATATGCAAACACAACTGTCAAAACAGTCTCAAACTTAAACTGGGATACTGGGTTGAATTTCACTTCCGATCTACATACAAATTAAACTTTGCTTTGTAATTGTTTGGTGTCCCCAACAAAATGACATGCTTCAAATTGTTACAAATTTAAGTGTTTATGAACATATATATATATATATATATATAGTTTGTTTACTTTGTTCATGATCAAATATCAACGTTTGTGTTTACCAAATTGCAGAGGTATATCCACCACCACCACCTTCCGATGCAGTTCACGGAAACAGTCAAGGTGGTCCATATGTTGTTGCACCACCAGTTGCTTACCCCATGAAACATGATGGTCCTGAATACCCCCACCAACCACCTACCTACCCCGAGCAACAACAGCAACCTGCAGAGTCTCATCATCGTGGGAGTGATGGATTTTGCACAAGATGGTAATTGAACATTCTCAACCCCCTTAAATTACATTTTTCTCAAGTAAAATAAGGGGCTAATATGTTATCATGTTTATACTTAATTCCATATTGGTTTCTTTGTATCAACAGTTGTTTTGCCATGTTGAGCTGTTTCTGCGACTCGTGCTGCGTGCCGTTAGGTAGCGAAGCTTACCTTTCCAATCACACACGGTAGTCAACTTCACAATCTCCTCCTAGCAATTAGCTTTTCCTGCTGTAAATCAGATTGTATTCATGTTTATATTATTTCCTACCATAAGTAGATATCTTGTATTAGTATAAATTGTGACTTTGTGTAATTTATTTAATACAAGGAAATATATTTTTTACATGGTATCAGCCTAAACTTGGGTTTCCTCCCTCTCCCTTATTCAATCCAATCCTCTCCTTTAGGTCCACCTCATAGTTTCATCTGAATCCACCATCTCCCTCCCTAGCCCTAACTCTTCTCATTTTATCAAGCTTACTGACTCCAACTATCTCCTTTGGCTCTGCCAACTCAAACCATTTTTAGTCGGTCATGACCTCTGGAAATTTATTGATAGCACTCATAAACAACCTTTTTCCCAAACCTCCACTTCTACCACTGCAACACCCACAACCACTACCGCCACTCTTACCCAAACCAATCTTGCCCATGCTCAGTGGTACCAACAAGACCAACTCATTGTTAGCTACATCACCGGTACACTCTCTGAGTCCATTCTCTCTCTCACCGTCAGCTGCACCTCTTCCCAGGATCTTTGGGAGTGTCTCCAACGCCACTTCTCTCAATCCAGTATGGCCAGTGAATCTGCTCTTTGTTTTCAACTCATGGATATGAAAAAGGCTCTCAACCCATTGATGATTACCTTCGTCATGCTAAGTCCCTTGCCGATTCACTAGCTACCATCAATGAACCTATCTCCGGGAAATCACCTGGAAAGGTCGAAATAGTACTCTCACCTCGTGTCATCATGAGCAATAGTACTCGTTCATAATCATGTTAGCATATAATTTTGAGGAGGATTATTATTGCAAGTTTTGGTTTAAATTTGTGCTTAATTTTGTGTTCATTTTGCCAAGAATTATATTTTAAAATCACTATGAACTAACTAACTATCGATTGTTACATTGCATGATTTTGATGTCCGTTTGTAAGCAGGTTAGATATATCAACTATGACATAATGTGCTTAAAACATTGGTAGTAAAACTCAATTGGGACAGTTAAGTTATATACAAAGGCACAAAGGCGCCTTTTTGCATATCTAAACCTTGGAGTTGGAATGCAGCTCTATTTTCATTTTAAGCTCCTGTTTACAAGCTGCTATTCACACATGCGGAGGATTGGAGAACATGATCTCCTAAACGGAGCACATGGCACAGGCACGGGTCGACCGCCGTTATAAGACCTATTATGTAACATTGTCGCGAAAATGGATCAAAACTAGCTAACAATTCATGAAAAACGAAGACACCCTAAATATGAACCTCGTCGCCAAAATAGACCAAAACTAGCTATAAAAAAATCATGTGACAACTCAACATCAAGGTTAGCCTCAAAGAAAATTGCAAAAGTTTATGCGTGAGATATTGCATATAGCCTCAAAGAAGCTTGCAAAAATTTCCGTATGATCTGCCTGGTTGTAGACACGCCACAAAAAGGTGGTAGGGGCTAAGGTGAGGTGATCAAGGCTCGATTAGAGGACCGGTAAGAACTCTAATTTTAGATCATCATGAACCCCGCTTGTAACGTTTATATTAATAAGTACATATAATACTTTTTATTTTTTTTAAAGCACTTCATAAAATACAAGCCACAAGAGTTTACGAGATCTTTTTAAGCATTGGCAACACTTCAACAAACAATTGTATCATCACCAATGGGTTTACGATTTTTTATATATACAAGGCCACCTGCATATCCAACCTTGGAGAAGCAGTTCTGTTTTCATGACAAGCTCTTATTTACAAGTTAATAACACGGGGATTTGAGCACATGAATGGCTATAAACAGATGAGCATTGTCTTTCGCGAAATATAACCAACAATGCGTCTGACTTATATTCAGGCATCGACAGACACGCTTAGAGCATTAAGCTCAACATGCTGCTTCCCCTCATTCTGAGGGTGAACAGTAACAGTTGCACAGGCCTCAGCTCCCACATCAGAAACAGATATGGAGCTTACCATTGGCCTTTCATCAGCAGCTACTTTATCGTCGTGATCATGGTCTTGGTCTTGGGAGATGATTTCCCACTCCTCTTTTAGAGATGTTACTTCCACACCTTTATCCTTGTGCTTCTCCATTTCGAAAGCAGTGGGTAGAATGACATAATCGTTTAGAGGGTTGTAGAAAGGGTCATGGTCCGCCTTTAACCAGCATTTGAGTATCCGGAATACATGGTGCTCACATAGAATTCCCCGATGCTCACCAGGGACTCCAACCCTTGCTGCAGCATTTAGCCCATCTGCCTGGAATTGGCAAAAGAAAGTCACGTAAAAAGACAGGGAAACAAATATTCTAACTTCGCGGCTATCACTAAAGCAAATGTGAATAAGTGAAAATTATGGACAGGCAAGTCAACGAACCTTAGCTGATTCTGCTGGAACTGTCCCATCACCATCAACGCATACATAATTCGGCTGATTAAATGCAAAAATGAGTTAGGTTTTGTAATTGATGATCATACAAAAACACCATATCACATTAGAAGATAATAACCTGGAAATATCGTAGCTGTCGTAGATCCGTGACAGGTATTTCCTCATTTCCATAGCTGCAGAGTTGTGAATTTGACTTAGATATTAAATTAAGGCATACTAAAACAAATTCGTATCTGGAAACATTTTATTATAACTTGAAGCTTCTGATCTACAACCGTCTAAAAATAGCAGTTGCAAGTAGCAGAAAGATTGTATCAAATAATTCATAGGAGGTATTACCAAACACTATGAGGTGTCTCGAGATTGATCCCGTATATATTGTAGAATTTAACTTGCGGAGGAACTTTAGCACGAGATATAATCTTGCGTGTTTCATTAGCCCATTTCAAGATTTCCATATTAAATGGTAGGGGAAGATCCTCACCATTATAATTGACCTGAAATTATGAAAACATGAACTGTGAGTTTAAGTAAGCCATACAAGTGCATGATAAAAGAAGCCATACATATGCGGTGCTTACCGTATTACTTGATAGAGCTTCCTTGAAAATTTCTACACTCTCTGCCAGGGGGTAAGACTCTAGGATAATTTGAGAGTTTCCATCACCATCAAGCCTTTGTCTCCACATTTCTAGAAGTGGAATGTGTTCCCAGTGAAAATCAAGACAGGCCATCAACTCATATACTGATGGACATTCAATAAGCTGGAACATTAAAACAAACCCTAGTAAGAAAAAATATGGATGTAAAGAAACAAATGCTTAAGGTCTAGGAAGTTAACTGCCCACAGAAATGGACTCATACCAGCTGGTGCATGCTCCATTTTGATATAAAAAAGTTCTGTTCCCACCCATCCACAAATGACATTCCATTTAAAAAGGTGGATGTGATATAACCAGGTGCACCTGCAGCACAATGAAAAGCCACAAATTAACTTTTGGTTAAGTTTTCCTAAATATTGGAAGCTTTAGTAATGAAACTATGACCAACATAACAACTGAGCTTATACAGGCTATTAGAGGTCAACTTCAAACTAAACTTTAGATTCCATTTTGTTGATAATTCAAAAGACAATTAAAAAATATATACCTATGGCGTCCAAAGGATGAGTTCAGTGTATGGTCCTGTAGATAGGGCAAACTTACTTTCATATCATACAGCTAGTCATATTTTGCAAACTTTCGAAGTGACTACAATCTTGAAATATCTAAATCACCAGAAAACAAGATAGCTGCTTCTGACATCATACATCTACTAGAATATTGTAACTACGAAAATGACACATCCTCATAGACACTTTCCTCTCATAAAATTTGCTACTTAATGTATTCAACAAATCAACCCTTTTCCCTTGCACTAGCATCATACAAATTTAGACTCTCAGGAGGAAAAGCAAATAACACACTTAAAACCAATTTCATTTTAAGAAGATAATTTTGAAATTTTCATGAAAATTCATTTCATCAATATGTAACTCTTTAAATCAACAGATTGTATCAGGTTATCAGTATTTTCAGTAGAACAGCTAGTATACTTGTCCTGGGTGATGATAAATTATACATGATCACTTACCCTGAAATGGGGCAGCAATTGCAATCCAATTCTTCACATATTTCTCAAAAACCTGTGAAACAAATGGTATTAAATTATAGGATATACCTTCTAGCACACACAAAAAGGGGGAAAAAAAATAAAAATTACAAAGCTATAAGCTGTTGATGCAATAATCTGGGAAGGGAGTGGGCAGAGCAACAGAATAAAGGAGACTTATTACTGAAGAGGCAGAATGAATGCCTTACATCAGTATGCAAGCACATGAAACATTTCACTAGAAGGCCCCCCATAGAATGAGTTATAATGTTTATCTTTTTTCCTCCAGCAGCATTGTACACTGCCTCTAATTTTTCAGCTAGGCGGTCCAATGTCTCCTGCAACCTAAATGAAAACAAAGAAAAATCAATATTGACAACCTCAACCATGGTGAATATCTAATAAAGCATACAAATTAGAGAAAGGGCGAAAACCATTTATAAACTTTTAAATCAATCTTTTGGACTTTTAAGTAGCATTCAAATAAAGCAAAACTAAGTAGATACCTGTTGCTTTGCCGGAAGTCATATCCAAAGCCAAAAAGTGTTTTCCCCTCTTGAAAACCCCACTTGGTAAATTCAACAATCATATCATGGAAATAATATACACATTCCTGTCCAATGACCTGTACAAGACAATACGTTAAGAGATTTTATCAGTGTTCAACCTCATTACTTCCAGAAATTTATTCCAGAAATCATGAGAGAAGAGTTCACAAGTAAAATAAGAAATATTATGATTTTTCACAATATATCATTTGAATACTATACAAAGTGCTGATAAGTAATCCCTCATCCCAATTATAACTTTTCAAGGGGAAAAAAAGTTATATCAGTTTGGCATGTAATGAACCATTTGCCTATAACAAATAAATTACCTAGGAAACAGCTTACACAATTTCTAGAAACCAAAGAAATCCAGCTTTAAAGGATCCTTTGATAGGTTATCTGAGGGATAACAGTTGTGGAAAATAATAAGGGTTCAAGATTTTATTTGGGATGAAAAGGGCCTTGATTTGCTGTTAACAAAGAAAGCAAGTAAAAGTCCCATTATGAAATCTCTCAACAGTGCGCCTGGACTATAAATTACAATGAAGAGAGAACAATGAATGCCAGAATAAAGCGCATGCATGAAAAAAGCCAAAGTTAGCTTCTACAAGTATTTATCCTTCTTGTCTATGTAATGTAAAGTTAGAATGCACAACATACCATGTCAGGGTCCAAGGCGTCAATTGCCTCAAGTCCATATCTACCTTCAGGGACCACTATCCTTGCCTTTGGGTCTAAAGACACCGTTTTACCTGTTTCACGAAGAAAACATTATTTTTGTTGCTTCACATCAGCATACGCACATACATATAGAGCATGCATCCATATCCTTCCAATCAAAAATCATTTTTCCTCTATGCAAGTGAGGGAGTGCAAGGATGCAATGACTACTGACCAATGTCTTAGAAATTTTTCCAAACAATTCAGTCTAGAGCTGATACATTTTCAAGCCCTCCCATCCACCCTTGCAGGAAGGGCACATGTCCCACAGATAAATTGATTTGACAGTCTGTTCAAAGTTAACCAGCAGATTGCAGGAGTTGGCTTTCAAATTTCACTTTTTTGCCCTCCTCGCGTATTTATAAATGGAAAAAGACAATAATTTACATCGAAAATATTTGACACTCCCTTCATAGCAGAAAGTGGAACTATGACAACTTCACAGATAAATTGAATTTAGACAAGTTCAGCTTCAGAAACTAAATTGAACAATGACAACTCCACCTCAGATAAGCAATGGTTCACATACAAGATTAACGACAGGCAACTCCATGCTTTTTGTAATAGCATGAATTTCTTTTTCTTTCCCTTATTTCTACTTCAATTTATCGGCAGCCAAACACAAGCGCCTAACTTTTTTGTCCTAAATTTTCAAACTTTATCACTGATTTTACCTGTTGAAGGATCGAAACGAGACCACAGCTTGGTCCGGAACTTGTAGTCGGCTCCGAGAATTCGAACCCAAACGCGCTCCTCTGTCCCATTCTCGTCATCAACAGCGTTCAGAATCGAACCGGCGATACCCGGCACCAGCAGAACCGGGTCGAGGTTCGGGTCCACGTAAGGCTGGGGCTTTTTTATCAGCTTCAACCAGAGCTCTACCGATTGCACGATCTCCTCCAAAAGCATCGTCATTTCACTCTAATCAAAACCCTTAACAACGAATTTCAAATTGAATAGAGGTGGGATTTTGCAATTGCAGGTTGAAATTTGATCAAATTTGGGAAATTTAGGGCTGACTCGTGAAGCTAAAGGGGACAGCAAAAGGAAGCTAAACAAGCCACGAATAGTACGGAAGACGATGACAAGATAGAGTCCACAGGATAGAGATATAACTCTCAAAACGACAATCCGGCTAATTAGAAACTGTTCCAATAATTGGACTTGACAACTATTAAACCAAAAAAAAACACCTATGGAAAAACAAAAAGATAATCATTTTAGAATAAAAATTACTAATAAAATAAAAATAATTTACTAAATGATTTCTAAGAAATTTATTTAATTTTTTCCAAAATCTTCTAAAGCAATTTATTTATTGGCTAATACCAAAATTTGAGCTTTTTATTTTCTACGATGCCAATATTGGTGTAACGTGTAACCTTTTTTCTTACAAATTGTAACGTGTAGGCTCACTGTAGCTTAGTTTCTAATTAAAAGAAATCAAAAGAAGCCCATATATTTTTCGACCAAAAAATAAAAGAAGCCATATATTTTGGTATTTTGCATTTGTGCCTGCAAGTTGCAACCACATTTTTCACTTTGTCATCCGCGAGAGAGAGAGAGAGAGAGAGAGAGAGAGAGAGAGATGCAGCTTGCATCTCTGATACCTAATAGCGCTAATGGTACCTGTTGCTTCCCAAAGGTAATATTTCTCTCTCTCTCTCTCTCTCTCTCTCTCTCTTGAATTGGTAACTGAAAATTTCTGAATGTTATATGTTAAGTTGAGTTGAGTGTGTGCTCTTAAGGGTGCAGTGAAACAAGGAGGACAGAACCCAATTGTTCAAAAACAAGAACAATGGAAGTTCCTCAAGAGCTTGGCTCCACCTCTAATGGCTGCTGCAGTTCTGGCCTTATCTCCAATCTGCATCACCCCTGGTAACCAACCACACTTGTGTACTTTATCCTCCAATACATACTTTAATTCCTCCTCAGTCCTGTATTTTTCCTCAAATTTTCAACATTGCCACTACCTGCACTAAAACAGGAAGAGGACATATTTATATTTTACACTTCTTCACTAACTTACCAATAGTAACTTATGGGATTTTCAAGGTTAGGAAAGTATATGGGATGGGCAAAGTCTTTGTCCCAAAGGTTAGGATGAAGAGGAAACAAAAGTGGGAAAATGCTACCGCCCCATTATTTTTTAATGCATTGATGTTTTGTTCGTGGACATTTTTGTAAACTCTGTCTATGATCTGGTTGATCACTGGAACTCATGTAGCTCGTGCTTAACAATAGTAGTTGCAGTTGGTTTAGTTCTCCCTGGGAACTAAATAGTTCTCATAGTTTCTTCTGATCAGTGCTGCCATTAGGAACTTGGGTAATTGTAGATTGTCTTTGTTGAACCAGTAGAGGCTCTTATCTCCACTAACTTTGCAGACATCATTTGCAATCTGTTTTAAAGAAGAAGAAAAAATACAATTAGATGGATTAAATGTTAAGGTTGCTTCAAATGCTGAAGTATTCCTTGATAGAAAGCTTTGCTTACCTCACTTCCATGCTAATGGCAGATAACTATTTTCATGGTAAATTGACAAAACATTGTGCATGTCATTGTCCCCTATACTAATGATTTACAATAGAAGCTTGTTCTTTGACTTTGTTTGTACATCAGGAATCACAATAAAATACTGTTACTTAATGACTGAGAATATTGCTTCTCTTACGTTTGTCTTTTCTCTTCCAAAATACATAGACGATTCAATGGCAACACAGCTCTG